TTTGCAGTGTCTGCTACGAACATGGGATTGAGCAGGAACAATGGCAGTGCCTTGTGTTTACTATTCCTTCCAGAGGACCCCTGCAACCTCAGGTGTGGCTCTGCCCTTCCTTCTTGGGGCTGCCGTACAGAGCTGTTCACGCAGCCTGTCAGGTGGGTGCAAGCATCTGTTAACTTCCTTTCTTTCACTTCCGGTTTTATCCAACAAAGTTATCAAGTTTAGTATCATCTCTGCTGTTCTTGCTATAAAAGGAAGCTCTTGGTCTTGTCCCCAAACCCCACACCAGCTCCAACGGTGGTGACGTTCTTTCTTACGGTGAGAGACACCCTTCTCTGCACAGGGAACCCTCTGGGTAGCAGAGAAGCAGCAGCAACCACTGCGAACTTGGCAGCCAGCCTCCTGGGCACTGATGCCCCTCCTGACTCCAACAGGAGAAGCTGCCAAATGCCATCTGCGTGCCCATGACCCAGGCTCCTCCACAGGAAGTGCCTTGGATAATGTTTGTGTCACTGGGAACATTGTTTGTCTGATGGCTATTAAAGGGCCAGTGTGGACTTGGGGAGGCTCCCTCATGGCGCAGCACTGGGTAACTGAACAGGAACGCTATTCTACTCCGCAACAGAGCCCGTCTCTGAGCCCGGAGCAAGGCTGGCTGAGCAAAGCACTCAGGAGGCCCTGGGCACCACAGCACCCAGCACTCCCCTGCCAAGTGCCCCAGGAACATGTTAACTCTCCCATGCCCGGTGACCAGCACAATGAATGCACTCTGAGGCAGCAGCTCACTTAAAGGCACAGCTCTAACCAGCATCCCACCCAGCCAGGTCCCTGGGTCAGCTTTCCCTCCTTGATATACTTTCAGAAGCAGGGAGGAGGCAGGGGTTTGGAGGTGGAGTGGGCCCGTCATGTCATGAAAGAAAATGTTACCAACTTGCTGGGTGACCCCGGTAACTCTCATCCTTTCCCTAGGCCTTTGTCTGCCCCTCTATAAAATAAGGAGGTCAGAGGTATCGAACTGACAGCATGCCTAGCTCCACTGCCCACCTCTATCATCCAGGGCAGACATCAACAATTAATCATGGCACCCTTTAGAATCTGCAACAGAGAACTCCTTACAGCCAATAGCAACTGCCTGGACTTGACCCACGAGTTAAAATATACTTGCCCTCTGGAGATGAGAGGAGTTCAAAAGGTTCAACTCTAACACTGATTTTGTTTTTAAATGCCTTTCTTTCCTGGTGATGAGGCCAAGCCAGCCTCCTCTGAGCCTGGGCCTTGGAAGAAATCCCCCATCCCCAGGCAAGAGAGCCTGCCTTCAAACATGCAAGATGAGCCGCCATGACAGCAGGGAGCACTCTGCCCCCGCTTCTGTAGGGCTCCACGGTGGCAGCTCCACACATCACTTGTCACTGGGGCTTCTAAACCTTTTTCACAAGGGTCTGCCCAAAGCAGAGTACTGAAAAGTTTCACAAGATACTGAACGTCCCTGAATTGCAGGGAAGCAGTACTAGAAGGAACACCAAAGTCCAGACAGGCTTCCCAGCCCAGTTCTCAGATGAGAAAACCGAAGGCCACTTGGAACCCGTGTCGTCTAACACCCTCTCCTGTGCCAACTTTCTTCTCCAGCCCATCATTTCAATATATCACACTGGTTTACTTCTCAGATGGGAAAAAGCAGAAATGATAACTATTCCTTTCTCTTGAAGAGGCACTGTACACTATTAATATTAGTACTACTAAGAGTAATAGCTAATTGTTTACTACATACGATGTTGAGCACTCTGCATTCATTATCTCATTGACTATCCAGATAGCCTGATGATTTTGTAATTAATTGTAAGAGCAGAGACAGACAGGGTCCAAGGTGGCACACCTATTAAGTCACAGAGCCTGGATTCGCTCCCAGACCAAGGATCCCAGCTCATTCTCCTCAGGCAACACCGTTTCCTTCCACTGCCACCTTGCATGGCCACACCCATAAGGTGGCCAGGACAGGGACCATGCCTCATTTAACACAGGAGGACACTAAGGCACAGTGAGGCCAAGGACCCTGCTGCCGAGCAGCAGCTGAGCTGGAAACCAGCACTGGTGGCTGGCCTGAGGCTCACAGGCCCTGGGGCTCTCACTGTGCAAGCAGCTGGCCTAAGGAAGATTCCCAGCATTTCACTGGCCTAGCTGCCTAAGGCTTTTCCCACTGAATCCAGACCACTGGCTCTATCCCAGGATTCAGATCCAACCACCCTTCACCGGGCATCTCCTGGTGAAGGGCAGAAACAGCTACTGGGTCTAATGAGTCTTAACACACACATACCACAGAGAGCAAGGGCAGGTCTTCTCCATTAACTAACAATTCCACCAGTGATTAAGATAGTCCCTGGCCTCGGGGAGTGAACACTGGTGGAAAAGCGTCGGTGCAGGCCCCTGAAAAGACTCCCTCACTCATTCAATACTCTCCTAAGTCACTCCCACTCCTCCAAACATTCCCGGTTCACCCCTATTCCATCACTTGGGAGGACGGCATTTCCCAACCTCTTTGAGGTTGGGTGGGGCCGTGTGACTAGTCCCGGCCAAGGACCGTGAAAAGAATTAACACCTCTCTCTCTGGCTGCAGCAGTTAATTGCCAGCGTTAAGTCCCTTCACAGCGTGCTTTCCCTCTGTCACTTGGCTGGCAGCATTGTACATGACAGCTTTTAATCTGGATCCAGAGGGGAGCAGAGCTCCCTCTTGACTCCCAATGGACATGTAGTGTGAACAAGAAATAAACTGCTGTGGTTTTGAGCCACCAAGATATCTTGTACCTTTCAGGATCTTTTGTTACTGCAGCATAACCTGGCCCCACCCTGAGAGCTGCAGCACCACTGTCAACATCACCACTCCCAGAAACCAGTACTTTGTTTCGTATTGTATAGTGCAGGCAGGGAGCATGGAGACATAAATCTGGCAGGTCCTGGAGCCCCAATCTCTAGGGGTTTCCACTTTCATGGAAGAGGTATGCACAGACAGGTCCCCTCTAATCTAAAAAGAAAGTAGAAAGTCCACCAACTGAGAAGCAGGGTAGAAATAGCCCACTCTCACCTTAAGAGATCAAGAAAGTCTTCCAGGCCAGGCACGGTGGCTCACACCTGTATTGCCAGCACTTTGGGAGGCTGAGGCAGGCGGATCATCTGAGGTCAGGCGTTCGAGACCTGCCTGGCCAACATGGTGAAACCCCATCTCTACTAAAAATACAAAAATTAGCTAGGTGTGGTGGTGGGTGCCTGTAATCCCAGCTATTTGGGAGACTGAGGCAGGAGAGTTGCTTGAACACAGGAGGCGGACGTTGCAGTGAGCTGAGATCGCACTACTGTACTCCAGCCTGGGCAACAGAGAGAGACTCTGTCTCCAAAAAAAAAAAAAAGAAAGAAAGAAAGAAAGAAAGAAGAAAGTCTTTGGAGAGGAGGCAGCAGTGGAATTGGCCTTGACAGATTGGTTGGATTTGGGCAAGTGGAAATGGGGGAAGGCATTCCTGGGAGAGGCAACAGCATACACAAACTATAGGAAGAGCAGACTGTATGGGGAGACCTGACGCAAGAAATGGGGCTGGAAGGTTCAGGTTATGGAGCCTCTTAATGCTCTGGCCTCAACTCTGGAGACAGTAAGGGAGTCCCAGGGTTATAAGCAGGGGAGCAACATGGTTGGTGTTGTGTTTTGGCTAAGGCCTCCTGGCAGCCGGGCAGAGGGCAGGTAAGATGCAAAAGCATGGCTGTTAGCAGGATGCTGCCATGACCCGGGGGGGCTGAGATGGTCACAAGCAGCAGGGAACAGCTGGGAAAGGGCATTTGGGGATGATTCTCAGCAGTTGGGAAGAAAAGGCAACAGGGTTTGAGTCTAAACTTGCAGAAACGAGGCCGTGTGTGCTGCATACAGGATGCGCGCCAGGAAGATGCAGGTGAGCCAGAGCTGGACCAGGAAGGCAGCAGAGGCCGGGGCGGCAGCAGCACTTCTAAGAACACACTGAATCTTGGAAACGTGGAGGAGAGTGTGGAAGAAAGAAAAAGTCTGGGGCCAGGTCATTTCCTGGTCTCCATGCCAGGAACGAGGACTTTAGGTTGCAAACGTGTGCCCACAGGGACTCTGACCCACGGATACGTTTTGTCTGGCAGATTTCAAAAGGTCAGTTGGTTGCCAACATTGAAAGCCAAAAGAATTCTCATCAAAATGTTCATTTCTGGCGTGTAGATTTGTCCAGCGACGTGACAACGCTGAGCTGCGTCCCCACCCAGCAACAGCGCAGCAGCTGAGCAGCGGCCGCCCTCCACACGCGCGGCGTGCGTTCTCTAACTGGACATGTCCCCACCACCTGTCCTGTTGGCTCATCTCTATTTATGCTAGATACACATATTTGTTGGGCCTTGTGGGCATCTGAGTCTATGAACCTGGCGTCAGTGCAGAGAGCCCCTGAGGGGTATCCCCTAGCTCATGCTGGAGACTGGAGCAGAGAAATCGTTGCTAAGATGTGTTTCCACAGAGCTGCTCTGGGCCTGGCCCAGGCCAGAAGAGGCAGGGGAGGCGCCATCTGTCACTGATCCAATCCTGATGGGGTATCTGCTCTGAGCAGCACCGGCGCTGAGCTCTCCCTCCCGCCAGCGGGGAGAAAAGCAGAGAGGCATTTGGGATATGGAGCAATAAGGGCTGTGCGGGACTCCCTGGGGCTATGGGAGCCCTAAGACAGACACGGGGAGTCACTGGGCCCCCAGAAGGTTCCAGGCTTTGACTTAAACAGGGCACTGATGGATGGGTAAGGTCCTGCTGTCCAGCAGGAAAAAAAAGGGCTCTCCAGCCAGAAACTACACAAGCAAAGACAAGTCTAAGAAGCTGAGCGCTCTCCCTGAAGGCAGAGGGAAGCTGGCAGAGGTTCTCTCAGCCAGGGAAGGGGCAGAGGCGCCAGGTCCCTTCTCTCCAGGACTCTGACCCCGTGTTCCCACCCCGGTCTCCGCCCTGACCACAGAGGCTGGGCACTCACCAAGGGTCTGCTGGTTGCGGACACCACCGATCACCACGCAGATCTCGGCGGGCACGTCGCTGGTCCCGTCCTTGCCGACCGCCTTCTTCTCCTCCTTGGCCTCGCCCTGCCAGATCACCTCCTGGATGTAGTCGTCCGGCAGCTCCGTCTTCACCTTCACCTCTGTCATCGTTCCCTGCTCGGCACTGAGCGAGGCCTCGGCTGGCGCTGGCTCTGGGCCCTCCACCTTGGTGCTCTTCTGGCTGCGCTTCAAGCGCTCCCTGGGAAAGAAGAGAGTCCGTTCAATATCTTCTTCCTCCAGACCTACACAGGAGCCCATCAGCCCATGGCACCACAGGAACATGCAAGGCTGTGTGCATAATGAATGCTAGCCCTCCACCCTGACCCCCTTACCCTTCCACAAGACCCCCGAGGCTACCCTTGAGGGTCATCCAGGAAACCCTAAGGCTTTAAGGAACACAGTTTGAACACCACCGAGCAAGAAAGACTCCAGCTCTGCCCATTTTACAGTTGGGGAAGCTGAGGTCTCAAGAGGTCTAGATGTGCCCAGCTGGCTTGCTTGCCACTGATTTGTTTGCACTTATACCTGGAGTTACAAGTGACCTAAAAGGGCACCTCCAGCTGGTTAAAATCAGTTCTTCTTAGACTTCAGTGTATATACAGATCAGCTGGGGATCTTGACAAAATGCAGATTCTGGCTCAGCTGTTCTGGAGTGGGGCCTGAGATTCTGCGTTTCTTTTCCTTTTTAGAGACAGGTCTCACTATGTTGTGCAGGCAGAACATGAACAAGCTCCTGGACTCAAGCGACCCTCCCACCTCGGCCTCCTGAGTGGCTGGGACTTCAGGCACTGTACCACCACGCCTTGCCCAGAGATTCTGCATTTCTTTTTTTTTTTTTTTTTTTTTTTTGAGATGGAGTTTCACTGTCGCCCGGGCTGGAGTGTAGGGGTTCAATCTTGGCTCACTGCAACCTCCGCCTCCTGGATTCAAGAGGTTCTCCTGCCTCAGCCTCCCGAGTTGCTGGGACTACAGGCACCCGCCACCACACCCAGCTAATTTTTTGTATTTTTAGTGGAAACGAGGTTTCACTGTGTTAGCCAGGATGGTCCCAATCTCCTGACCTCATGATCTGCCCACCTTGGCCTCCCAAAGTGCTGGAATTATAGGTGTGAGCCACCACCAGGCCAAAATTCTGTATTTTTAACAAGCTTCCAGGTATGGCCAGGGCTGCTGGGCTTCAAGGTAGGCTTTGGGCGGTAAGGGTTTCAGTGCTTTGATGGGCATGGTACCCAGTGCTGTTCCCTTCATTCCTAGGCAAGTAGGCTTGGGATCTTGTCCAGGCTCTTCCCTGCTCCTGTTTTACAAATGGGAAACTCCAATTCAAAAAGACACTGGGTTGAGAGGTCACAGAGCCAACACTGTGGCAGGGAGGGGACTCTTCAAACACTGGAAAACATCCTCAATGATGTTTTCATGTCGGTTCTGAAGCGGGCAGGGCATGGGTCACTGAAGGCCTTCATGAGGGGGACAGTAAGGCTTAAAGCAGAGCTGTGACTTGCTCAGGCCAGACACAAAATTGGGGACAGGCCAAGGCAGGAAGCCAGGTCCCTGCCATCTACTCCTGAAGCATCCTCCTTTCAACACAGCAGTCCATGATATCATCCAAAGGGCCCCACAGCCTTCTGACAAGGGAAGCATCCCCATGACTGCTCTCTGTGCGGTGGGGAAGCCGAGGCGTGCACATACTGGGCAATCAAGTCATGTTCCAGGCCCAGAGACACTGCCCTGGCCATGCCTGCCTCTCTTCTGCTCCACAGGAAAGTGTGGTCTGTGAATTTCAAGGCCCAGACTCCAGGGACACCCAGGCCAGGAAAGCCAGCATTCCAACTGCAGCATAGCAGAGGCACTGGGCTGGGACTCAGGGACTCAGGGACCCAGGCTCTGGTCCTCGATTTGTGGGGGGCTTGCTGCGTGGCCTTGGGCAAGACGCTTCTCCTCTTTGGGTTTCAGCAGCCCCCATTATAATTGGAGCATGGGTTTCATCACATCTGTTGTCCTTCCCAGCTTCAGCTTTCCCCCAGGGTGGAGAAAGGCTGGGAAACTGAGCAAAGAGAGAGACGGAAGGCCCCGGCTAATGAGGGAGACCATGAGGAGGTGCTGTGGACTGAACTGCGTGCCCCCAATTCATATGGTGAAGCCCTAACCCCCAGTGTGAATGGGTCTGGAGATAGGGACTTGGGGAGGTTAAGTGTCGCTAAATGAGGTCACACGAGAGGGGCCTTCATGAGGGGACTGGTGGCTTTGTAGGAAGAGATTGCTCTCTCTCCGACGTGAGAATACAGGGAGTGGGTGACCCTCTGCAGCCAGGAAGCAGCCTTCTCCAGAACCCAACTGTGCTGGCAAGCGAATCACAACCTCCGGCCTCCAGAACGGTGAGAAAATGCACTTCTGTCGTTTAATGAGGCCTACGGCAGTAGGCGTGACAACCCACCGCGTTCCGTTAACAGCAGCCCAAGAAAACTCATACAGGAGGCCAGGACTCAGATGGAACGTGAGTGCAAGGGCACGCTGGGCAAACCAGTCAGGAGCAAGGGCTAGCGTGCCAACCACTTCTTCGCTGTGGGCCTCGAGCCAGCCACCTAACCTCTGAGCCTTGGTTTCCCCAACTGCAAAATGTAGCTAACAGGGTTGTCATGCAGATTTTAAACAACTAACACATGGAAAGTACTCAGCACAGCGCCTGGCCTGGCAGGGCTCTCAAGACACGGTTACCATTACCGTTGTTAATAATGACACACGGTTAGAGCTTCACTGGCACCCAGTGACGCCTCCCCATCATGCATCTGCCCCGTCAGAGGCACCAGACACACTGTCTGAGCTTTGGCCCTTCTCCACGGTCAGGAAGTGTAAAACTGCATGATTCCATCGCCTCAGAATGCATTGCCTTCATTTATTTAAGAAACGCACTTAAGTGCCCAGCACTGTTCTAACACACTAATTCCTTTCTTCCTTAGCAGTGACTCTAGGAAGAAAATCTTGGTATTCTCTCCACTTTACAGTCCAGGAACTGTGGCACTGAAAGGTGAGATAATATACCCAAAGTCACATGGATCGTACGAGGCCTGGACTGGGAGAGAAAGTCGCAGAGGACAGCCTCCTCGCCCACAGCTGAGGCCACCCCACGTCACCCATCCTTGACCTTCAGCAACCAGAACAGAGTCAAAACCAAGGTGCTCGTGGGTGAGCAGGAGAACAGGAGGTTCTCTGGCTTTGTGGGCTGATGCCACCTCTGTGGGGGACAACATCAAGACCTAGAGTCCCCCTGATCTTCCAGAGGGGAGCACAGCCCCGCCTAGCTGCAGGACACCGCAGGGCAAAAAAAATCTCAAGTTCTGTGAGGCCTAAGATATAACTGGGACCGGCAGGTCCAGCAAGTCACAAGGGGACAGCTGTGGCTTTAGAGAGGGAGGTGACTCCTGCTGCTGGCCAACAAGAAAGGGAGATGCCCTGGAGTTGGTGAGCTCCCCCACATGAGAAGCACTGGAGCAGAAGGGCCAAGTACCAGGTTTGGAAGTTGGATCATCCTAGAGCCAAACTTCAAAACTGTCAGTTGCAGGTTCCTACCTAAGTGATTTGACTCCTCCAAGCCTCAGTCTTCACATCCATACAATGAGGATAAACATGGTTCCTACCCCACAGTGCTGTGATGCAAAATAAGGTAATGTCTACATAGGACCTAGAACAGTAGCTACCGGTAGAGACGTTCTACTGTATCTACCTACTGTCCTTTTTATGGAGGGCCGGGAAGGGGCATGTGCAGAGGATGTAAGGGAAGAATCTTAAGCGACATAGACTTTAGCGCATGGGCTGTGAAGTTTGGGCTGTGGAGTTGGACCAACAATGGTTTGAATGCCGGCTCTACCACTGTCCCGTAATGGGATGCAGGCGGTGAGGGAGTGAGGACTTTGCCTAGTGCTGCAGAGGTGGTCATGCCGATGAAGCTGATAGTGAACGATGTGTATCCACATTTAAGCTGGGGGGTCAAGAAGGCAGCTGACGTTCCCGTTTCCTAGCTAAGACCACATGGGTGCTAATGGTCAGAGTCCTGAGACTCACTGGGCAAAGAGATGGGAGGGAAGGAAACAGAAGGGGCCCCCCGCCAGAACTCCCGTACCCCGGCTTTCTTCACAGCCAGTGTTCTGAAGCTCAGCCTGGGGCCTCGAGAGCACTTGACCATGCCATCTGAAAAGATTCAGGCTCCCTTCCTGCTCCCAAGGTCCACATCAGCACCATGGCATCCTGGCAGGGGCAGGGAGGAGCTGTTGGAGTCAGGCAGGCTGGATGGAACTCTCATCTGCCCACCCACACACCCTGCAGCCTTGGGCAAGAGAATCCCTTCTCTGAGCCTCTGTTTCCTTGTCTATTAAAGGAGGACCAAGACTCTTGCCAGCTGCGAGGGTGGGCACAGAGTAGATTTCCATGAACGGCAGCTGCCCTGATAATGACGACATTGGTTCATCCTTGCCTCTGGGAAGCCTTCCTGGCTTGCCTGAGGTGGAGTGAGACTCCCTCTCTGAATGCCACGCCTTCCTCGCACAGGTGAGGTTACTCTGACAGCCATCCTCCCACTGTGTCCTAACGAACTCATCTTGGCTCACTTGTGCCCTTCCCAACAATCCAGTCTTGCTTCTAGCTCATTGCCTTTTTTTATTTCCTTTGCAGCCCTGTTATCTGAAAATGCACTGTACACTGGCTCACCAGACTGTACCTGCCCTAAGAGCAGGTGGGGCCCTCGGGAGTATCACGTGCCTCTGATTCCTGGCATCCAGGAGGCCTATAGTAGGTGCTCCATAAATTTGCTGAATGACCAAAAGGATACCTGCCTTCCAGTACGCGGGCCCTGGGACGTATGCCTCCTAAGACTCCCTGGGGCCCGCTGGAACAGCGGAGTAGATCCTTCGGATGGGTTTCCAGAATGGATGGTTACCCATTTGCAACAGGGCCAGGCATGAATGTATCACAGGAGAGGCCCTCTCCAGAGGCACAGGGCGTGCAGCAGAGTCGGAACTAGAACTTGCATCTCCAGACTCCCCAACCTTTGTTCTATCCACTGAACTCCCAGCCTCAGGTCACCTGGAGCTCCTAACACCTGAAGCTGAGAGTCGGGCACGGGGGGATATCTTCCTCCCGTGAAAAGCTGCCTCTCCCTAGTTCCTGCACCCACATCTCCCACCCCAAACACATCAGAGGTCACACTGG